TGAAACTTCCCATGTGCCGGTGATTGAGGTCTCTCAGCCAGTGGTGACCTTTCATCCCTCAGCCTGGTAGACAGCAGCAGGAGCACATACATCCATGCTCTTGGAAGGAGAATGCTGCTCCCTCTACCTTCTCTCCTTGACCCGTGTTTTCCCCTGGACCGCTGCTGCTGTTAGCTGGACACCACAGAGGCGGGCACCCCAGGGCAGCCCAGAAGGAGAGGTGTCCTAGGAGTCTGCATGCTGCTTCTGCCCCACAGGCTGTGCCTGACACGGAGAAAGCTGTCAGCAGCTCTGACAGATGAAGAGCAGGGAAACCAGCTGCTTGGCAGGCGGTCGCTTATAAAGGAAGAGACCACTGCCTCTTTGCAGAGATGTGTGCTGGCCATGTGCCTGGCTGAAAGAGTGGAAGTGAGTAATACCGTGCTGAGAGAGGCTGTAAGACTGAACGAATGTGAAGGCTAGGGACTGTAAGTGTCCTGGAACATAGTGCTTGTGTCAACCTCCTCTGCCTCTTCCGTGCCTCTTCCCCAAGCAGGTGGAGGCATGGAGAGTGGTAGCACAAGCTTCCCTCTCTGCTGATTTGGAGCCACCCCATCTGTTTTCCATCCTCACTCTTACCCCTAGGACAGACATGCCAGTGAGAGAACTTGTGGCAATGTTGATCCCTGGGAACTGGACAAGCTCTGGCTATATGTTAAGATCTACCACATGGTTAGGGGTTGCTAATGCCTTCTGGCCTGGTCTGTACTGACATGATGAGCCCAGGTTACTTTCCCAAGACCCTCCAAGCAAGCCGATCCTCATCTGCCCAGCATGGACTGACTCTGAAGGTTTGGAGGGGAAAATCTCTGTTTTGTATTTTCTGACCATGAGCCAGCCACTTGGCGTGACTTGGGGATGGATTGGGACTGACAAACTGAGATGGAAAGATGCCTTTTGCCATTGATTTCTGTGGCCTGGGGTAGGATGATGTTACTCAACTCAGTCCACAAATCCCAGAGCTCATCTGCCTAGAATAGAACCAAATAAACAAATTAATTCAAAGCAAATCTACTCCCCCCACTGCAACACACACTGGAATGCTTTGCCAACAGGATACCAGTAGGATGGCTTTTCCTCAAGTGTTGCAAGCCGTGGAGTAATGTTCCTCCTCTGTTTTTCCTTTGTGAAGTTGGCATTGCCCCTCGCAGTAAGCACATGTAGTCCACTTTTCTTTGCAACTGAGAGCTAACGATGATTTTATTTAAAGCCCTTCATATGTTGTTTTTTTGGTGGTTTTTTTTTTACAAAATCTGATGATCCTGAGAATGCCAGTAGTTGACCCCAAAGCCAAGGGGTGGAATTCCTTCAGGCGGGCAAAGGGTAGCTCCCAGCCAAGCCCTACTACTTGCACGTAACATGCTTTGTTCAAGTATAGATATGATGTACTTTCAAGCACAAGAGCTGATATTTCCCTGTCTTATGCCACCAGTCACCTTCACTCAGTGACTCTTCAGAACTCAGGGCTGAAGTTGCCATCAAGTGACCAGCACTAGTGAGCATTGCTGTGCTGGGGAATTCTCACTTCTTTTCTTTGTGGTGCTTCCACCTATGCAGTAAAAGACCTTGTAACCGCAGCCACATTCACCCATAAGACTATGCTTGGGATCTCTCACCAGAGATCAGAGAACAAACATACATGAACTTCCAGGGCTTGGTAGCTCTCACCTAGCCTCCCTAGAGCTCCATACAGCTTTTCCTCTGTCACCAACAAAACCAGCTGTAGCACACCAGGTAAAAAAGCAGTAGGTAACAGGCACCAGAAGTTCCTTCTCTGGCAGCAGGACTGAATTAGTAGCTCAGAAAAGTGTGGGCAGGCCATGCCTGGCCCCCATGGCTATCAGGGGTAGGTGGTACTCTGCATAATCTCAGGAGAGCTTCTGAAAGAGGCTGATAGAGACTGAGGTAGGACCGAAAGTTTACTTCTCTGCTAACTTCTGGTTAGCCTTGATGATTAATGAAAAACAAGCACTGTTTGCTGTCCTCATCTCAGTTTAGATCTTGATTTTAACAAGGCAAGAAATATTTTTATCAGCAGGTAATAATTTCGTTATCCTTCTGTGCTCTTTGTCCAATCCCACTTTCTCTGTCTCCATTCCTGAATGACCTGTAGCCAGGCTCCACTCCAAACAGTGTATGAACCTTCAGCCTGCAAATCTGGGTGTCTGCCCAGCAGCAGGGGTTACCTGTGCTGCTTCCACTCAGGACTCCTGTTCATGCCTCTTCCCAACAGCTCAGACACTCATTTTCACGGTTTCCCTGTATTAGAAACAATTAGGTAATGATACGTGGACCGGGGACTTCTGTCTCTGGTGTAAAACTGTTCATTCTTGAATTCCTACAGGTCAAGGCTAGAAATGCTCAATAGATCAATAGAAATCCAAAATTACCTCCAGAACAGCACAGGTTATGCATCTTTATTTAGTTATATTTGCACTGTTCCAGTGATATCTCATCTCTCAGCAGTACACTTTCCTCTCCTGAAGTGATGGTATTGGGAGCTGGGGAATCCACTACTGGGGTGGTGTTTGCAGAAGGAAAACAGCTATACCACTGCCTGTGGGCGTGATTTCTAGCAGGGAATCATTTTACTTTGTTTTGCAGATGTTGTTGTTCCATGGTTTGCCTTTCTTGGTTAGATTAAAAGGCTCTTTACACCTGGCATTTTGTTCCTGTGGAGAAACCTGTGCCCTGTAATCAGAACATTTCTTCATCTCCTTTTTGCTAAATTAAAGAGATTGAATACTTTAGGTTTCTTACAGGAAGGCATTTTCACCAGCCCTCAAATTACTTTTGTCATGTTTTTTCCAGTATCCTCTCCAGTTTTTCATCATCCCTTAGAAGATGTGACATACTTCACATCAGAGCTAGATGTGATATTTTAGCATATATATACCCTGCTGTGATGAGGATGTGTAGTGAGGCAAAAATATCTCCTTGTTCCTGCAGTGTTTCACTGCCCTGATGTCAGGGTATTGAACTGACAGTTCATATTTAATTGCTTGTCATTACCCCCGAAATCTTTTCAGAATTGCTGTTTTCCAGGATCATCTTCTTCTATCTGCAGCTGCTGCCTGCATTCCTTCTTCCTAGAAGTGTAGTTCTGCATTTGGCTCTATTAAAATCCCATATTGCTTGGATGGATTTGCCCTCTGCTGTGATCCAAGCTGCTCTGTGAGATTGCGCTGTTCTCATCATGATACACCACATTGCAAATTTTTGTGTCAGCAGCACACATTATCAATGTCGATCGTATGTTTATTTCGAAATAAAAATATTTATTTCCAGATGAAATCCTTGAATCGTGCCAGGCCTCATACTGATCACCCTGGAACCCCTCTAATTCCCTCCCCAGCGACAACTGCTTCTTGTGTTCTGTCACACAGCCAGTTTGTTATTCATTTCACATGTGCCTGATTGACATCGTACTGCCCTGTTTATTTTCTTATCGGAATAGCATGGGCTCTCAGCCTGTTGATGTGCATGTATGTAATTCTATCGAATTATGAAAATGGACTCCTTTGACAAGAGTGGTTCTCCATAGACCTTGTGGACTTGACCTCACTTCTATATTCCTTTCCTTTAGTTCCAAATTAATTGACCTATGCGTCATCTTTTCCATTCTGTTGTTCAGGGCTGATTTTGGCTTTGCTGGCTGACTGTTACCTTGTGTCTCGCACTTGACCTGTTTGAATACCAGCACAGCATTAGCTCCCTTTCCATCTCCCCAGATCCTACTGTTATTCCAAGCTATCCAAGCCAGCAATGTCAGTGAGCCAGAGCTGCTGTCAGCCAGCTCTTGTTGTATCATCCAGTCCTGTTGGGTTTAGAAATCTGTGTTCCCTGTAGACACTGTAACACCTCCCCTGTGCTGACTGTGACAGGGAAGATGGTAAAAGCCATAAAATGGGATGGATATCTCTGGGCACTTTGATGGGAGAGAGCTAGCTGCTTTGCCCTACCCATTCGGTCAGAGATGGAGGTGGTGGATAGGGTGTGCAAAAGACCTGTCGGTGCCTAAGTTTGGTTGCAGAGGAATCCCACTTTCAAAGAAACTCAAGGGGCACATGGGCAGCCAACCTATTTTGGCCCCTGGTGTACTAAAGCCTTTTTCCTTGCAAGTGGTGCGGGTGAGAGTGAGGGAGACATTTTCCGGTAAGCACAGAGCACCCTCTTGGAGGCTTAGTTCTGCCAGTCAGTAAAAGGGAATGGGAGGAAGTGCAGTAGAGCAAGATGTGCTGTTTTGCTGGTTTAATGCAAAGAGCTCTGCCTAGGAGTCTACATGGCTATATAAAAGAGTGTAAGAAGTGTGACCTTGTGAGCTGGATGGCTTCTCCATGCTTAGTCTCCAGAAAACACCAAAAGTCATAAATGTAGTTACTGCAGAAAGTTGTAACTGCACTTACAGGCTTAAGTTCTTGGTCATTCTCTCTTGTTTGTGACTCTCATGGACCAAGTTTTATTTGCTTGCCCTGGCTTCTCTTCTGACTGCCTTGCTGGTTTTTCAGTGCTCATTTGGGGCTGGGAAGGCAGGTCCTGAGAAAGCTCCCACCATAAGGACAAGTGTATTTGGAGCTGCTTGTGTTTGCTGGGGGAAGGATGTGGTGGGGCAAGGAGCAGCCTTTGAGTGTGTGGGCAGGCAGAGGTCCTTCAAGGCAGCTGGTGCTTCCCTGTGGCGGGGCAGCCTGATGTGATGGTACAGGGTGGGTATCTTGGTGAGTACTGTGCCCTGACAGGCTCAGGGCATGGGGCATGGTCCATGAAATGGTGAAATAGTGCCATTGTGATGACTGAACCCAGGTGAGGAGTGGGACCCTGCTCACTTAGGCAGAGCTCTGTGTCGAGGTGGTGGCTCAGGCAGCTCGTCAGTGAAGGCTGCCACAGGGTATCCTGGTGGACAGGCACTGTGAATCAGCGCAGTTACTTGTGAGGAGTATTGGTTCATTTTTTCTCTTCTACAGGACTCAGAGCAGAACTGGCTCTCCTGTCTCCCCCCAGAACACAGGGCTGTCACGGACTGTCCGGCGGTACCCAGCCAGCAACGGCCAACTCACCTCTAATGCACTCCCCAATGGGAATGGACGTGAGCAGAGCAGCTCTGGGCCACATGTGGTTTCCCAGGAGCACACCTTGTCTGCAAGGGGTAAGGCCTCCAGGACTGTCACTGTTTTGGGGCTTCTTGTTGAGGTGTCATGGGGAAGGGCAATAGTGTGACTGGGGATCCCCAAGAAATCCTGGTCTCCCAGGACTGTGCCACTGAGTGGGATGGAAAGGGAAGGTCAGCATGGGCATTTCTGGGCTTGGTGAAGAAAGAGACCTTACCAAAGGAGGACAGATCAGGGGAGCAAAATGGGATGTGTGTAACAGATGCTTCCCACAGGTGTTGAACATCACCCCAGCATGCTGCCCTGAAGAGGGATTGCCTCAGTCTGTAGGAATGGTGTCTCCCAGCTTCCTCCTGGGTCTGAGCAGCCTTCGAGGTCAGATTGTGCAACCAGCATCCAGTTCTTCCCTCTGGCTGCCCCCTTGGTGCCTTCTGACATGAGCATGGATCAGGCCAGGCTGCTGGGACGTGCAGTTGCTGAGCCTCAATGACTCCCCAGCTAGGACAGATGCAAGTTGTCTTCTGCAGCTTGGCTCCCCCTGAAGCCATGATTCCCCAAGGAGTCACCATGTGGCATCTCAGACCTTATAAGTAGGGCCATGAGCCTGACTGAAGCTGTAATCTGAAAGTGGGGATTGAAATGGGGAAAGTGGGGGTTGAGCACAGCAAGGTGGGCACCCACAGAAACAGGTGTCTCATTGGGCAGGGATGGAGGACTCTGGTGTGGAGCCAGATGGTTCATGGTTACACAACAGTTCTGCCTGTTGTCTGTTCTCTACAAGCCACCACAGGCTCTGAGTGTGATTTCCCCCTGTATCTAATGGGAGGATGGTGAGGGACCAAGAGGGGCCTGCAGGTAACTGCAGGAGATCAGGTGATGCTTGTGGGGAGACATTGGTTTTCTCAAGCCCTCTCTTTGTTGGATACCAGTGTGGCTGTTCATGTGGGAAGTCTTCCAGTGGTTTAAGGGCAGCCAGTCTCCCGGCTACTGACGTGGCTGGAGAAGAAACACTATCTAAAGCAGAAACACACCCTTTATTCTGGAGTTGGTGCACACGTGTCCCTTCACAGGGAGTCATGCCACTCCAACTGGGCAGGCAGAGCATGCTGCTTGCCATTTTTCAAGTGTTGACAAACTCTTACTAATGTTGAAGAAGAGAACAGGCTGGAGTGTGCAAGGGGCAAGGAGAGAGACTGCCCCAGGGAGGGACATAGACCCCTCCTTGCTCTGGGAATGCTTCGGAGCTTGATCTGCAAATTACCAGCCCCCTGGTCTGGAGATGCTCTTTCCACTTAGCACTATCCTTTTCTTCCATAGGGGCCAACCTGACAGAGAAGATTAGGAAGATAAAAATCGTCTTTACACCCACCATCTGCAAACAGACATGCCGGAGCGGGCGCTGCTACAACAGCTGCGAGAAAGGAGACACCACCACTCTCTATAGCCAAGGGGGGCACGACCATGATCCCAAGTCTGGCTTCCGCATCTGTAAGCACCCCAAGGCCCCCAGCCCACCTTCTTCCCTGCTCCCCCACTCTCATCCTTCTGCCTTTCCTGCCTTTACAGACTGAGGGCTTGGGCTGCTATAGGGATGGGAGGGGATGGCCTCTCTCAGTGCCTTGGAAGATGTGTCCTGGGATCTTTGGGGCTTACTCCATCTCTGTCTCTGGGGGAGGAAGGCAGACCTTGCCTAATTGCTCTCTTTGCTGGGCAAGCAACTTCTGTTTCCATCCCACCCCAGGTAGAGGGGATGCGTGTGTTTGAGTCAGGCCTGCAGCCAAGCCTCACCACCCCCTCCTTCTCAGAGCCAGCTCACTGCTTTCGTTGGCATCCAGTCTTGGGGCTGACTTTCATCACCTAATTTCCTCCTGTTCTCTCCTTTCACTCACGTGGCAGCCAGGAAAGCTGGCTGCAGGTTGCAAGCTGTTCTTATAAACAGGGCTGCTGAAACCTCTGCTCACCTTTCAGAGCTGTTGGGATTGCTCATCAGGTCACTGGGATACCCAGCTGTGGGCTGGACACATCCTCTTGGAGCCAGTTGGTGGGAGCAGGCTGCAGCTCATCCTCTGAAAGCCTCTGTGATTCTTATGTTCTTGTAACACTGAGAGAATGCAAAGTCTGGCTGTTGTGGACACTGACTGATACAGGGTTCATAGAAATTTCTGCCTACATCCCAGTCCAAAGATGTGTCTCCTCCCCCCAAAACTGGTTGCCGGGCTTGAGCAAATGAACTTGGAGCAGGGTGGGATCTCATCCAGGAACCTGACCAGCCATCCAGGGATGTGCAGCAGCAGCGTTTCGTCTCACACTGAAATGAGTCAGGATGATCTGTCAGGGAATCCCATGCCTTGCCTGAGTGTCACTCGCACTGAGAGACACTCTGGGTTGCTCCAAGCATCTGATGAGGCCAGAAAAGAAGTAGCTTCGATTTCATCTGTGGATGCTTTTTCCAAGCCTGTGTAGATGAATTGCTCCCAGTTCTTTTGTCCCACTCCACACTTCTCCCACTTGAGCTGCTGGCAGGGCCAGGGCTGGCCGGGAGACAAGCTCTGAGGACGTGGCTTTCTGCCTGTTCTCTCCTTCTGCCTCTCCCATCCCCTCTGAGTTCCCTTCTGGGCTGAGAGCAAAAACCCTTCCAAGGGGGGAAGGGGGCGATGCAGAAGAGAAGAAATTGTGCTGACTTGGCTGCATGCGGCTGCCATAGATTCTGCTGTGCCAGCAACATCACCTTGGCCCTAGGGGGCTTCCCTGCAGGGTGTGGATGCCCCAGGCTGGCCGTGACCCCAGAGCCCAAGGGAGGGCTCATCCTCTTCAACCCATGACTCCGGTCCTGAGCAGAGGTTGGGGAAGATCGTGGTGCACAGCGGGGACCCCAAGCTGCCTCCAGTCTGCAAGTGCTGACCCTAGCCTGGTGCTGGGCCTGGTCCTTGGGCACCATGTGGCTAGTGCTGGCCCAGATCCAGCCTCCTGGCCTCCCCCAGCCGCCCCTTGTCTAGAAGCAGTGTCTGCTTCTTTGCTAAGCAGATCTCCCTTTGCCTTGCAGATTTCTGCCAGATCCCCTGCCTGAATGGAGGGCGCTGTGTGGGCCGGGACGAGTGCTGGTGCCCCTCCAACTCCACAGGGAAGTTTTGTCACCTTCCAGCTCCCTCTCTGGAAAAGAAGCAAGGAGGGAGAGCCCCAAAGACCCTGGCCAGTGGCTCCATGAAGCACTCCACCTACACCCTGCCTTTGTCCAACCAGCTGGGTGAGCATGGCTGGCAGCTCCAGACCCCACATTTTCCTCCTACTTGGGTGCTTTTCAGATCTTCTTTAACAGGCCTGAGGAGGCTGTTACCTCATTATGCTTGCCTTTTCAGGTCAGGTTGTTAGAAAAGTGATTCCCCTAGTCTCTGAAGGGTTCAGGTTGCTGGGGAAAATTTTTGGTAGGTTTGCCCTGGTTTTGGGCCAGAGAAGTATTTTTTCTTAGATGCAATCTTCCCCTAGATTTCCTGGTGGGGGTCAGTCTACCTCTCCTCCCTTGTGACTTTACTAATGACAAGATGTACTTCAGGTGCCAAATTGTTGCCAGATTGTCACAACTGTGGTATAAACTCATCTTCCAGCTTCCCTAAACCCTTCCCTGGTGAATGTCCACATCAACCACCCTCCAGAAGCCACTGTGCAGATTCACCAGGTGGCCAGGGTGCGGGGTGATGCAGAGGTGTCGGAAGAGAACAGTGTGGAGGCGGTCCTGGTGCCTCAGCTGGCCACCATGCCCTGGTACACCTATGCCCACGGGAATGGCAACAGCATTGCCACAGAGAGCGGCCAGCAGCAGCAGAGAGCCCCAGGGCTGCTGGGGAGATGCTTTCGGGAAGCTCTCCATGGACAGGTAAGGGGTCACCCATCAAGCATTAGAGTGTGTGTAGATATGTCTCTTGTTCTGGGGTACGTGGGTGCATCAGCTTATGGGGCAGGGAAGGTGGCCTTTCATTGTGTGAAGCTGTTTGGCATCAGTGTGGGCATCACCCATGTGCTGTGGGCACAGCCAGCAATGTACTTGGGAGGAAAATCCCTTGTTTCAGCCCAACAGGGAGACCTTGCTGCCTTGGCCTGACCAGGCTGTGCCCTGGGGCAGTACAGCCCAGACTTGATGGCTTTCACACAGAGTTTCCTTTAAAAAGGGTGCCCTATTTATAGCAACATTTACAGCCACATTGTGCGATTATTGTAGGAAACATATAAAACATAGGAAAATTCCTTTCCCTCTCAGACGATAAATGAAAGTCTGATTTCCATGGAACGGTGCCTTCCTGGGCAGCTCAGTTGGGGCTTGGGAAGCAAACGCACGTGAGGGGCTTTCTCACCCCTGTCCCACAGTCATCGTAATTTCTTATTTTGTCTTTCCCCATATGTTTCTCTTGCGTCACTGGAAAAGCATTGGAGGTTTTTGGCACCCACAGGAACACCTGTGAGCTCTCCTGGAGCAGCTCACGCTCAGTAAGGCTCGCTGGCTGGGCAGCGTGGGACTCAGCCCCCTCCCCACTGGTCCCCAGCCTTTTCTGGGGGACTGCTCCTGGTTTCCATTCTGTCCTTCAGTTGCTCCCATCCAAGCTGTTTCTAGTCGGATACATTCTCATCCACTCCCTAGTGCAAAAATAAATGCAATCAGACCCTGAGGCTGGAAAAGCCCTGCTCCTCTGTGGGGAGACAGCAGCTCTCTGACCCTGGGAGCAGATGATGATGCATGGAGGTGTTCATGTGCGCCTGGAGATGCTGTGGGAGATGCTCTGTGGGGGGAAAAGGGGGGCGGCAGGGGGCACCCTTGCTGTGCTTGCACCTCACCTGGCCAGGGTGATGCCATGCCCAGGAGAGGGTGAGGAGCCTGGCGGGAAGTGCTTGCCTCTCCCCACTCAGGCTCCACCCCAGCCACGACATATGTGAGCACTGGGCAGGCGGCCATGCACGCCTGGATGGGGTCCAGCTCCAGCCTCTGGGCCACGGCAGCTCCACTCTAATGGGGAAGCCTGTAATCCAGAGGGCCTTGCTGCGGGGCGCGAGGGAGGTGGGAAAGAGAGACTCGCTAAGCAGTGGAAAGTGCCTGACCACAAGCTCCCCACCAGGCTGGAGTGGTGCACCCATTTTGCTGGCTAATCAGCCAGGCATGGGGCTTATCCCGAGGCTTTGCTGGGTGATATCATCTCTGGTTCATCTCCTGCTTTGTTTGATGTCCCCTTCCCCTCTGAGGGGTGCAGTCGAGGGAGTCTGATGTTTTTCTGGCTGCACAACTGTTTACTCTTTTAAACCGCATCCCTGGAGCTGTGCCGGGAGGGCCATGCCAGCCTTTGACCCCAAACCATTGTCCCCCATGCTGGCTCTGCCGCCCCCGCGCCAGCTGGCTGCAGTGGATGGGTGCATGTTCCCTCCCCATCCCGCAGAAGCCTGATCCTCTGGTCCTGTCTCTGCAGTGCACCAACCCCCTGCCAGGGCTGACCAAGCTGGAGGACTGCTGTGGCAGCGTGGGGCTCTTCTGGGGTGTGGACCGGTGCCTGGCCTGCCCCCCCCGACCAGGTGAGTACTGCTGCCACCCGGGACAATGTGAGGGATATCCAGCACCCTTGGCAAGCAAAACTGGTCAGGCTGCCTCACGCAGTGGAGGAGGCATGGAGCAGAGCTGGTTTGAGTGCTGGCCCCAGGCTCAGAAGTTTCTTCCTAAACGCCCCTGTGAAACCCTGGTGCAGCCAGTAGTTCCTGCCATGCTAGCCCTGCTCAGAGGGAGAAATGGGAAAAGAGCAGCCATGGTCTTAAGAAGTGCAGTCCTAGATTGGTGGAGGAGGATGCAGACTTGGCCCTATAGAGTTACGGGCTTGCTCTGGGCCCGACACGGGCTTGGCAGGGGCTCTGGAAATAACACTACATCAAACAATTGGCAGGAACGCACCTGGGGTCCGTTCCAGGGGCACGGGTGTCCAGCTCCGTTTCTGCGGCGCTTGGGAGCTGGATGGATTGATCCAGTGGGAGACGGGGATTCCTCAGCCACTTTGTTGGGGTGCTCTGTGACAGGCATGGCCCCTTGAGCTGTGGCTGCATTCCATGTTGTGGTGGAGAGGCTGTGCTGGACTCATGGCTGGGAGGAGGCAGCCTCGCAGGCACAGAGGCTCCGCCAGCTGGTGCTGACGAGGTTTGGTGCAGGGCAAGGTGCGCATGTCCAATGCAATGCCTGCCTGCCCCCTTTCATTGCTGTCTGGCTGCTCGTTCACATGCCTTCACTGGATCGAAGGACTGAAGTAAACAGCCCCCGTGGTACAGGAGACTTTGACCCCTGACGAGAGCGGAGGTGTTGAAGGTGGCAGGTTTTGTGCAAGCAAGTGTGGTGTTGGTTCCTTCTAGTTCTGCCCAGAGTCTGTCCCGCTCACTCACATGCACGCTCCCAAGAGCTGTTTGCATCTCGTTGTCCTCCATTGATTCGGTTACCTCCTCAGCCAGGGGCAGGGCTGGCTGGAGCCAAATTCTTCGCAATCGCAGACAAGGTTGTCAGTATCCTGGAACCCAGTGCAGATCTGGGGAGCTCTGACTGCTGTCACCTTCCTGCTCTGCATGGCTCTGCTGTGGCCCCAGGCCACGCTGCTGCTTGCCTGCCCTCATCCGTGTGCCAGCCCCAAGGGAGCCTTGGGCACATGCAGTATAGAGGTGACCACAGAGTCTCCACGTTCAGCACAAACAAGGAAATGCCCCATACAGGCCTCAGCCCCCTCCTCTTTGTCCCCAGCCTTTGCATACATGGTCACAGCTTTCTCCTCCCCATCCCACAGCAGTCTCCCCCCTTTAGGAAGCTATGCTAGGTATCACTCAGTGGTCAGAGCTGTAGCAGTGATTTGCTCTGCTGAACTTAGATTTTGATGCTTCAAAATGTGTCTCTAATCAAACAAGACATGAAAACAGGAACAAAATGCCCTCACGTGCTCCTTGCAGTCAGCCAGCCAGTAGAAAAAATGCACTTAAGAAATGCCTCCTAGCTTCCACAGCTCAGCACATGTCCTGTGTCCCAGCAGCAGCTGAAACACAAGGGAGGCTGTCACTGCTGGTCTTCATTGAGTGGACAGATGCTTGTCTGGCTTTTTTTCAGATTAAATCTATGGGCATATGAAAAATGTATCCCCGTGGGTCTTCTGCCTTCCTGTGCCGCAAGAAATCCAGTTCTCAGTCCCTTTGGCTTTGGGTGATAAAGTTCCCCCTTGGATACCAAATGGCTCTTGTTGATCTTGGCTGGAATTCGGGCTAGTTGAAGGGGTTGTTTTCATCCTCTGTAATCATGTGCGAGTATCTTCCTCCTTTGGCTACCTCCGATTGACTGCCGTGTAACCAGCCCCACATGCAGGAGACCACACAGTGCAAGTGAAGGGAGCTGTAAGACAGACACTCGACAGAGACAGCCTAAGAGAGCCCAGCTGTTGTGGAGTGAGAAGCTCAGGAGGCTGGCATGCTCTTCTCTGGCATGCTGTCTTCACACAAAAAGATCTCACCTCAGAGTGAAGCCAGGGAAACCGTCTTTTCTCCGTGATCTTACTGCTCTAACAGAGCCATCGAGCACTGTGACGTCTCATTGCCCTGAGTGTCCTCTTCCAGGGCTCACAGGTCTACGCCTGTCCAGTGGGAAGGCATTGCTCTGCATTGTTCCTGCCTGGAGACCACATCCCATACTCACATTCCTTCTGTCTCCTGGTCTTGCTGGCCTCTGTTGTGCTCACTCACTCAAAGTCACTGGGCTGTGGTTCAGTGACCTGGTGTCTTGTGCACAGAGATAACATGTCCAGTGGATGTTTCCAGCTTTCTTCTTGGCACTGTGGTCTTCAGAGGGAACTTCTCCTTGCACTCGTGTGTCCCAGGGAGGCGTGCACCAGAGCAGACTTGACAGCGCTGGGAATTTAATTCCAGCAACCAGAGACAGAAATGGCAGAAGCTATTTCAGTGTAAACACTTACAAATGTACAGAAGTGCAGCCAGGCAAGAGCTAGACAAATGGAGAACTTGTTTGGATTGACTGTCTGCCCGAGACACTGATTGTTAGTAGAGTCTGGATATGTCCGGATGTCTCCGTCGACTGCAGCTTTCATGTTTGGTACGTGTTTGTGTGCGGAAAGACATCAGAGAAGAAGAAGAATCAGAGGCAGGCATCTGTCCTAGTGAACCTGCCATGACCAACCCCTGCTATTTTTTGTGTTTCGCCCAGCATCAGAAAAGCCAAGGCACTAGAATGCTTTGTCTGCATCCTAAGGAGACCATGTTAAAAGCTGAGTTCAGAATTAAGGCAGGGGTGGGGTTAACCTGGCCAGGACTCTCTATAGCAGGTGTTACATTAGTCTCAGAGGTTTCCTTAGGCTCTGCTCAGACTTTTGGCTGTCTGATTTGCTGCTGGCAGGGTGTATCAGGCTTCTTCAGAGAAGTGGGCACAGAGATGGGTATTCAAACAGGCTGTAGTAAAAGTTGCTGGGATCTTGCTGTTGTAGGTGAGAGCTGAAGATGGGACCCCCAGGATATATCAGAGACAGCCCTGGGAGAAAGGGGACAGCCGAGAGCTTGTTTGCTCCTTAAGCTGTTGAGGCAAAGGCTGTCACTCAAGCCATGAAAGAAAGGGATAAGTGAGAGTCAGGGCCCTGAAGAATGGCAGGACACCTGCATGCTGTCATGCAGCTGCAGTCCTTCAGTCTGTCTCCAGCTAGAGATGGCTGGATGAAATGTGCTGTGCTGCAAGATAGGATAAATCAGATGGAGACATCTAGTGACCCTCCTGGGTCTTTAGCACTTGGAGGAGGCAGTGGAGCACACGCTGAAAGGGTAGAACAGAGAGATAGGAGCATATGGGAGCTGGAAGGTAAAACTTGAAGACTGATAGTGAGAAAAGGGAATTGGGGGCTGAGGAAGCAGCTGTAGTAGAGATATTCAGAAGTGGCTGGGAGAAAGCCCAAGGACCACAATGTATTTGAGCAGTGCTGGTGCACTGAAGAAATGTCCCATCCTGTGGCAAGCTCAGTATGTGAGGCTAGTAGCAGGCACGCTGCTGGGCAGAGCTACTCCTGCTTACCTGCCAGACCACACGCTATTTTGGGGTATACAGTGGTCTGTGGAGAGAAACATGCTGGAACAAGGTCAAGAGGTGGTCCACAGAAACTAAAACCAACAAGTCCCAGGCTGCAGGTCGGCACAGACCCCAGGGGTGGTGTGGATTTGAACACTGTTTTCCTTGAAGCCTTGGCCCTCCTCAGGCACGTTGGGATAAAGGAAACTGCTAGCAGAGTTCTGCCCAGAGTGGGTCACAGCCCTCCTCTTCCACCTCCTCGCTGTCCCTGCGACTACATACCCTTGCGACCAAGCAGTGCTCCAGGAGAATCTCATACCAGTGACGGACACCATCTCCAGTACTGCCTAGAAGCTACAGGTCTTACCTTTCCCCGTGGGTTTGGGGGACTTTCTGGGAGCACCAGTAAACCTGCATCTTCCAGGTCCTGGTTTTTCAGTGCACCCTGTCCCTCATTAGGCAGTCAGCCTAAGCGTGGGCCGGCCTGAGCACCCACCGGTTGTGCTCACTGCGGATCTTCCTGGGCTGCTTTCTTTCCTCCTGCCTATGGGTTTTAACTACATTAAGAAACAAGTCTTTGAAGGCTATTGTTTTGTTTTTATTCTCACTCCCCATGTTTTTTCAAGTTTTTTGTCCTAGAGAAAAGTCTGAATTTCACTGGAAAGTTGGATCTTGTAATGTCTGGCTTGGCGTCCACAGCACTCCCCAAACAGACCTCCCACCACGAGAGGGGTGGCAGCTCACCCATGCAGCCGTCAGCATCAGAAACGCTGAGCAGCTCCACAAGCAGCACACTCCCCTGTGCTGTGCCTGCAGGCATTGGAACAGCCACAGGAAGTCCCTTGAAAATAACCCCCCTGGTCTGCTCTTGTTGCGATCAGATTGGGGAGGATACAGGGAAAAAAACCCTGGAAATATGGGAAGGAGGCTACGGAGGGGGCTGGTTCTGCCACCCCTACACCATGTGCCACAGGGAGTCTGTCCGGGACAGTAAAGAACGGCTAGAGGTGGGGAAAGAAGCTGAAACCTCTGCAAGGTTGTGGCAGTACCACAGAGAGCAACGCTTAGTCTGGGGAAGATAGTGCTTGCTTTGCCCATCATTCGTGTGCAGGATCATGGTCTCGGCACCCAGCAGCAGTGTTGCAAAAGTGGGGTTTTTTTTAGGTACAGAGGTATCTTGTCCCAGCTGGGAGCCACTGTGGGAACAGAATGAGTTTCTCCCTGTTGAAATGATTTCAAAGGCCAACAGTAATTACCAGTCTTTTTTTTCCTTCAAGCGTCTTTTCCACTTGAAGATCTTTATTGACCATGAGTAGAGCAGAGGGCTTAGTTTTATAACGCACATCAGCACTGGTGAATGCCCCCCCTCACCGCTGCTACTGTAGCCTTTGTTAGGGCATTGGAGAAAGTCTTGCTGGAGCCTGCCTGCCACAGACCACCTGGAGGAGAGGAGAGCAGTCATGAGAGATCTGAACTGAAGGATTTGAGTTCCTCTTGTCCATTCTGCCTGGGAACTCAGCTTATCCCCACAGCCACAGCCCTGCCCATTTCTTGGTTTAGAATCTCCAATACATTTTCTCTCTGGAGGCTTCTGTGGGGTCTGACCTGCTCTGCTCTTCTGCCAGTGAGTTCAGCAGCTGAGGATCTCTCTGCAGTGGAGGCTGATCTCCTCTGCTTCACACCAAATCAGGCTGAAGTTTGACTGGGTCCACCACCCCCACCACTCAAGACGATGCACTCTGGCTCCTTTCATCTCCCACATGCTGGAAAACCCAGGGCAAGCAGAGGCACCGCTGCCACCCTCCTGACTGCAGGTTCTGTGCCCACTGGGGTCCAGCCAGGGCAGGGGTTCTTCTGTGGAGCTGAGCCAGGGTCTCCAGAAATGTCTGTGAGTCCTGAAAGTGGCAAAGGAGTTCAACAAGGCAAGATTTCTCAGAGAGACAATGCCTTTTGCATGATAAATGGAAATAGTTGAAAGAAATGGGCTAGCTTTCAGCAGCCAAGCATTTCCTCACTTTTCATCTGACCACAAGCTTGCCTCTTCCCCTTTAACAGAGTGATTTTGGCTGGCCTAATATGATGTATTATCTCACCCTACAAACCTTGCCTTACTCAGGCTGTTGTGGCTACCACCATTAGAAGTGGTTTCTTCCTGCTTCACCATCAGCCTGAGCTTCTTCATTCTGTCTTCAGAGAGTGTTTGGAGAGCCAGGGCCCTTCGGTGAAGCCTTTTCTCCTGGGAAGTGATGGAAAACTAGCCTACATTCTTAAAGATCATCCTGCTAGGCTGCAAAATCCCTCTGCCCGATTTCCTTGCATTCATTTCCCTTCTTATTCTGCTCTGCTTGAGTATTATTCTAGCTGGGGATAAAGGTGCTGGTGGGAGTCCTGGGCTGTGGCTGCTTCGCACTCACCTCCTTTCTGGATCTGTGAGCTTACTGCACATATGATCCTTTGTGCAAGCCTGGCCCCACTGGGGATGTCCGGTGCCTGCAGAGCTTGCAGAAAGCAGCACTGGGCAGTGGGATGAAGCAGATCTGGAGAGAGGTATGAGGAGAGCCAAGGGGGAGTCCTGGTGTGCAGGTATCTGGTGAGCACATCACTTGGTGAACGCATTGCTTGGCAAGCACATTGCTTGCTGAGCACATCGCTTCAGCACTGCACCCAGGGGGCTGAAGTGCCCAGGAGGCAAGGCTCTGAAATCACACCCTTGAATCAGGAGCCAGAGCTCCCTGCACTCAGCAAGCCTGAAACCCCTCTGCCCGACAGATGCAGCTCAGCTGTTCCATCCTCAGCCTCAGGCTCTGGGACAACCCCTTCCTGGAGAGAGTGTAGACAGACACAGGAGGCCGGGACCCCTCTGGCTGTGGATATTGACAGATTTCTGCCCTCTCCGATCACCAGATCAGTTTTTTCCCTTTGGTGGGTTCCAGAGGAATAGCCTCTAAAGCCAATCTCCCACTCCTGCCAGCTGCATGGGAGAGGGGTGGATGCTGATCCCCTCTGCAGGAAGCTCAAGTGTCCTAGGCTGGTTTTTCAGGGACTTTTGGCTACCTCTGCTGTAGTTCGGCAACATCAGAGCTTGTGGAAGGAAATGGACCTCTGCTCAAGTAACCAAGTACAAAGCTGAGAGTTAATAGCTTACATCCTTCTACAGCTACATGCTACCTTCTCTTGCAGCAAGGTCCTGGCAGAAAGAGAGCAGCCTCCATCCAGTACTTTAGAAACTGCCTTGGTTCCCCTTGGTACAGAGATCTGCTCACATTACATTACAGTTATTCTTTCCAGGGAATGCGGGTTTCTTTGCAAAATTAAGACATTTCTCCACAGCCTCATGAGTGATTTGCTGCAGTAATGAGCTGCAGGTTTCTGCAGACTGGAGTTGTACGAGTGCTGAGGTGTCACGAGACCTGCACACTCACCCCCCATCACCGGTATCTTCTGCCTCACCCTCTCCCCAACAGCATCTGGTGGAGGGATGCTGCAGTATCTGTTTCTCCACAAAGGCTTTTCAGAGAGGGAGCAGGGCTCTGACACATGTCATCGCTGTTTGATCTCCAGCGTGCTTGGCTCCCCGTTGGAGGGCTTGCACATAATGATGCTGCTTCATTTGAGTGTCTGTTATCACATCATGCTGAGGCTGACAGATGCTTCCAAGCACAGTTAATGCCTGTCAGCAGCCCTGAACCCACAGGCTGTGGTGTGGGAGGACCTGGAATCCCACCGGGGTGCTGAGCCTGGAGCCCATGAACCAGAGGTTGTTTTTCCTTTCCCAGAAGGTTGGAAATGTACTCAGCAATTCCCAGTGTCATCAGCAACGCCTCACCCCTAACATCCAGATATTTGTAAGCACCTCCTGCTTACAATTCATGACTGAACCATTGAAGGGGGTGAATAAATTTTTTGTCTTAATCATTCATCCAGGCGCTGAGGATCTTTCTGCATCCAGAAAACCTTGTATCTTCATTTAATATACCTGGGGAAACCAGGCTTTCTATTCTCCTTCCTGGTAGAGGCTGGTGAACAACTTGTTCTTCCAAGTGCCTGTATCCTAGGAGGCTGGTCCCTTAATTTTGCCTTTCAAGAAGTGTCCTAGAATGGCTTTAAAATGCTTTATAGGGTCAAAGTGTCCAGGACAGAGTCATGGATGTCCCTGTTGTCTGCCAGTGGTGCATTGTTTGTATTCTTAAACTTTGCAGGCTTTTTCCAACCATCTCCTGCCACAAGGATGGTCTCAATTTGTCCCCGGTTCTCCAAAGCTGCAGTGCACTAGGAATCTGCCAGATTCTTGATATGGCTATTGTCATGGAGGGCTTTCCACATACGACACCAGGGTGTGAGCTACTGATGCCAGGCAGGAGGAATTCGAGTAGTGGGAATAGGGCTGGACAGTCACTTAGTTGTTACATGCACTTCTTGTTTCCAAGCATAAGGTCCAGAAAATTAAAAAGAAACCCCACCCTGGGAAAATCCCATCCTTAGGCAAAGTACCCTTCTTCCTACCCCACCCCATGCTTACTCACTTCCCAACCCATCACCTCCTGGATTCCCTTTCCCTTGCTCCAAAATACAGTGCCTAAATTTGACTTCCTTGGAATTTATGGGCCACATTTCACTTGCCTTTAAAAAATTTGGAGAGATTTAATTGTGCAGTTTATAGGCTATTTTGAAACTCACAAAACTATTTTAAGTAGCAATTTGAAATTTTCTTTGATGAGAGTGATCGGACTAGGAAATCAAATGCAGTAAAAAAGGGGGGAAATGTAATAAACAGGCCCTGAGCTGTTATTTCAGCATCTTGTCAAGCACCTCTGTCATTCCTTTCACTCTGATCCCCCTTGTCATGTGCCACCTGGCTATCCAAGCTGGCCTGGGAGGAGCCGAGGTGACACAGTGATAGATAGGAAGCACAGGCAGCACCTCTGTGTCACCAGATTGGCACCTGCCAAGTAGCAGAAGACACTGCTTGGGAAACGTGGCTGCTCCCACCTTTCCCTCTGCCCTGGGAGTCATCAGAGGCCCATCCAAGGCAGACCTAGGGACCCTTTCCCCTCCACAAGGAGGGCAGAGGTAGGATGCTGGTGACTGACTCTACTGCTGATGTCCCACACTGTTTGCTTTCTTCCCAGCACACCCTGTGATTGAGAATGGGCAGGTGGAGTGTCCCCAGGGATACAAAAGGCTGAATCGGAGCCACTGCCAAGGTAAGGATGCTGCTTTCATATCTCTCTCTCTCCTTCAGTTGTAATCATCTACACAAATGAAATGCAATTGTCTAACTCCTTGATACAGATCTGCAAAGAACACTACTTACAAAAAATCCTGTGCTTTCATCAAGAATGAAGGAAAACCAGGTAACACTGGGCTACATGACTCAGCTGAGAAGCATAGTCAGCACATAGTTGGGCCAGCACAAGAAAACTCACCAGTTAAGTCCTACTGACCCAATAAGGACCTATGTTGCTGCTCTGCTATGTGTGAGTGTACAAACACTTCTCCCATAGTCTGAAACAACAGAAATTCTGTTGCCTGAAAACATTTGGGAAGGTTGTCAGCTTGTTCAGTTGTTTATTTACAAGTGGCAGAGTGCCATAAAAGCGATTCCTGTCACTTGTCCATGCTGCCAGGCTGCCCTGCCTGCCCCATGCTGCTGGGATCTATCCATTTCTCACTACCACGGTCCCTCAGCTCCATATGAGGAAAGCGCCATTTCTCCGCTTTTCTCTCTGGTTCATGTTTATTTGGCATCTCTTGGACCCACAGTGCTCCTGGTTTTCCATGCTCTGACTGAATTGGAATTTTGTGGTACCATTCTCGTGATTCACGATAAGCTGAGAGGTGTCATCTCGAAGATGCAGCAGGGAGCCTGGGCCCTGGCCATGCAAACCCAGGGCTGGCAATCCAATGACTCATCTCTTTTAGCTGGGACTTTCCACCATGCTTACTTAATTAATGATTCAACCTCCCCACATTGTCCTGGGGGATAATTTTCAACAACACAACAGCTTCTATTCTCCTCGGTGCTCAGATTTCACCCCTTGTGCAGCCACAGACAGTGCTACGGGCATGAGGAGCTACCCAGAGACATCAAATAGGAGTAAAAGGACCAGAGCAGCTAGAGGTACTCATGTCAGAGAGTAGAGACCTGCAGTGCCTGCTCTGAATTTGCGTCCTCACTGGAGCAGGGAAAGGCTCAGAGGAGTAGAGGGAGAGGGCAGTGTGGAGTTGGCTAGGATGTTTTTGCACAGGAAAAAGGATGAATCAGAGATTTGTGCCTCTGTGTGCTCCTTCATAAGGTGGACTGTGACAGATGGGCTGGAGAAGTACTGTGCTGCACACACTCTGCTGTCTTGAGGTTCTTTTCCCATCTCTGCTGTTGCAGCAGAACATGTGTCAGGAAGCCCAGCACCTCACTTCAGGGTCCAGAGTGAGCAATGTGGCTGATAGACTGTGGGTGAGGCTACACAGGGCCTTCTCTCACCAGCCTAGGTAGGAAGGGAGCCAAGGGTCTGGACAAGGGCTGATGGCTCCTGAGGCAATTGCCTGTAGAAGACAAGCTGAGCTAGGAAGGAACTGGACTCTGGCTTTGCAGGCTGTCATCAAAGCACAGATGAATGACTGCAGGAGGGCCCTGGCAGAAGCTTACTTTCCTCTGTTTTGTATGGATAGAAATGGTTGTCTCTGGTGCATTCCAGCAGAGGGACAAATGGTCCATCTCTGCAAGATTTCCTTTCCTTTCCTTGCTGCATCCCATTGAGCAGGAGCAAGGCTGCAATGAATCTGAGTTGAGAGTGTCTGGCAGACCCAGACAGGGAACCTCCCAGTGCTTGTGGGACCAGCAGGAAGGATGGCACTGGAAGGAATAATGTAGTTGCTAGACATGAGGCAAAGGTTGTCTTGGAGGCTTGGTGGTAGGGAGGTGTGCATGCACAGCAATCACTGCACAGGACCCACACTGGCAGCTTGGTGTCCCTATATCCTTGGTGTCCACATACACTTGGTGTCGATATATACTTGATGTCTGTTGCTGACTCATGTCCTTTCTGCTCTCCAAGCACTGGGGTAAACCAGCCTGTACCTTTCCACCACAGGCTGCCTGACCCAGTGTGGCTGCTTCTGAGGATCACCGGCAGGCTGTGTGGGGTGGGAAAAAGCAGCCAATAGAGTGTATGGATCTCGGTTTGTGGTCCCTGAGGCCTCTTCTTGTGGGCTAGCCCCATCCCTGGCATGCTGCAGGGGGTAGGAGTGCATGGCCCTGAGCACGCCTGCCTGGTTCTGTTCCCTGAGAATTTCCACTGTGGGTGGGTCCTCTGCTGCCAGTGGATTAGAGGGGTTGGACTGAGGCTGGGACATGGCCCTGTTTTAAATTAAGCTCATAAAGCCCAGCCCTTGGTGCTTGTTTGTTTTGTGCTCTCATTATTCTAATCCATTCATTCCCTTTGCTTATGTGGAGGCCAAACACTTTGTCCAGTTGGTGTGCCAGAATGACACAGCACTCTGACTGTGCTGGGGAGTGACAGGGATGAGTCCCAAGGCTCCACCTGAGACCCCAAGCCTCTTCTCTGAGTGGAGTTCCCAGCACATTTGGGGTCTGGCCACTGGTTGTTCTCATTAACTCTGTCCTGTGCTTGGTACAGAGCAGGAAACCATTATATTGTGCAGCCAAATCCTACTTCTCCCTGGCCTGCTACACAGCCCTGTCGTGTTGGTACTTCCAATTGACTGAACATCATGACCTTGTCTTTTGGCCTCTGTGTTCTTAACCATGTATGGACAGCCGGTGAGGTGAATGGGGGAGCACAGGACTGGGGAGGACCTCTCAGGTTATTAAGTCTGAACTCCAGCTGTCACAGCTGTCTGTGTGACATCCCCTCTTCCACCAAGCAGTGATGCTTCAGCTCTGAGGTATAAGGTAGTGCTGGGAAAGCTGTTCCTGGACCTAGCTGCTCTCAGTCAGGCTCTTACAGTATCTCCATTCTTCCAAGTATCCCAGCAGCCTGCCTCTGCACCCCTTCCACCTTGAGACAGTCTTTAGGGCACCACTGGGTGCTCTCAGGGCACCTGAGGTCTCACCAGGGCCTTGTACACTGGCATCTGAATGGGAGACACTGGGTGGTGGGTTCAGTTCACCCTCAGCTTCCTCACATCTCACCAGGTTATCTTCTGTCCACAGATATCAACGAGTGTTTGATGCAGGGCCTGTGCAAAGATGCTGAGTGTGTGAACACCCGTGGCAGCTTTCGCTGCACCTGCAAGCCTGGCACCATGCTGGACCCATCCCGTAGCCATTGCATCTGTAAGTGCTCCAGGGAACCCCTCAGTTTGGGAAGGGGCCTGAGCAGGACCCCAGCTGAGCGGAGGCTGCAGCTTGCTTCTCGTCTCTTTCGACTGTCCTGCTTTTGTGCCAGGATGGGTCCCCATGCTGCAGGCTCCCTTCACGCCTGGTCTTCTCCATGGACATCTCATGGCCCCTGTGGAGCCTGGAGGGGACATGCCTGCAGTGCAGCAGCAGAGGACACAGCCTCCTGGGTTGAGAGCTCCCACAGGAGCTGGATTTGCTGGGGGCTGGCACTGTTGGGAGGATGGCCCAATGGCTGAAGGCCAGGAGTGTTCTGGGGAGAGGGCTGGGCAGCCCTCAGGACAGGGTGGGAGGCATGCACAGAGAAAGGCCTGAAGGGGAGAAACTGTGTCCCTGTTCTGTCTTCGGACAGTGTAGAGCTTGATGTCTGGCACTGACCCTACTGTTGTGTTTCAGCGGACAAGGCAGTGTCGATGGAGCAGGGGCTGTGTTACCGCTCAGCAGCTGGAGGCATCTGCTCCTTCCCCCTCTCCCACCGCATCACCCAGCAGATCTGCTGCTGCAGCCGCGTTGGCAAGGGCTGGGGGAAGAACTGCGAGGAGTGCCCCCTGCCTGGCTCAGGTGAGACGTGCCCGCTTTGGCTTGTTCAGCTCTGGCTAAGCTGGAGGTTGGGCTTGCCTAAACTTGCTGCCACGCAGACGGCTGCAGGACCCGAAGCTGAGCAGTGCAAATGCTGGCCTGTGAGATGCGTACAGCAGCCCTGGAAGCAGACCTGGATAATACTGGGAATCCCTGATGGGAAACCTCTCTGTACCAGAGGGAGAGCACAGCCATATCTGTGCCTGGGTTTGCTTTCCTTGAGGAAAGGCTGAGAGACCTGAGAGGAGACCTTATCAACACTTATAAATATCTAAAGGATGGGTCTCAAGAGGAAGGATGGGGTCAGGCTCTTTTCAGTGGTGCCCAGTGACAGGACAATGGGCAATGGGCACAAACTGGAGTACAGCAAGTTCCACCCAAACATAGGGAAAAACTTCTGTACTTTGAGGGTGACTGAGCCCTGGAGCAGCCTGCCCAGGCGAGCTGTGGAGTCTCCTTCTCTGGAGATATTCAAGAACTGCCTGGACGCGATCCTGTGCAGCCTGCTCTAGGAGAACCTGCTTTAGCAGGGGGGTTGGACTAGATGATCTCCAGAGGTCCCTTCCAACCCCTACCATTCTGTAATTCTATGATTTTTTTTTTTTGTTTCTCGTACATCTTCTGCTGGGATGAAACAGGTGAGGATGAGTTTGGCATATCTTAGCATGGGGTAGGGTGGAGGGGAAAGCACTGAAATCCTCAGGGCTGGGAAAAATCTTCAGATGGTTTGTGCGGAGCATCTTGAGTGATGTGCAAAGTGCTCAGTGACGAAGCACCACAGGTGTGTTTTTATCTGCTCCCTTGCTCAGCTTGGACCTTCCTGTGGCATGATCCCTTCCTAGCAGTACTGACCCAGGCGAGGGATTTAGTTTTTGGTTTCTGGGAGTACAAGCCAGTGCCTGTTAGAAACCCACCCTGCCCTGTGAGCTGATTCCTTTTGCTTGAAGCATCCACCCACTGCAGCCCAGATGTGTTTCTACAAGGATTTAACCCTTAGAGATATCCAGAAAATGATAGGATCGGAGAAACTGGTACCTGCATTCACATACATGCATGTCCACCTTCACTCCTTTCTTCCACTTGTCCCACCATCATGTCTGGCTGCAGGAAGCCAGGTAGGTGATCCCTGCACCAGCCTCTTCCTTCCATCCTCTGCCCTATAAAGCTTTGATTTGATTTTCCATCACAGAAGCCTTCAAGGAGATTTGCCCAGCAGGACATGGCTACACCTACTCCAGCTCTGATATCCGCCTGTCGATGAGGAAGGCAGAGGCAGAAGAGCTGCCCTTCAGCTTGGAAGAGCAAGGGGAGAGCAGCAACTGGACGTTGGACCGGGCAGCAAAGAGACAGCAACTGCAGGACAACCTGCGTGGGAGCATCCTGGAGGCATTCCCCCACCCTGGCACCTCAGCAGGAGAGGGTAGTGTGGGGTCTACTGCTTAAAGCTTCTCCATGCGGGCCTCTAGCAGGGTGGGCAAATTCCCAGGTCCTGCCATGCCTCCATGGATGGACTTCTAGATGATAAAGGCTTTCTACATCTCTATGAATATGTAACGTGTTCTTCAGCCCTACTAGTGTTCCTGGGCCATGAGACACCACATCTTCAAGCCTTGGAGAGGAGGTTGAGTCTTTCAGGCTTCTGCAACCACATCTTTGCAGTTGGTGCTGGCTGGCCAGCCTGCCTCCACCAGGACCTCAGGTCTGTGTGGCAGCCCTGGCACTGCAGTCCTTGGGCTTTTGTCCAGCCCAGCTGGAGGGAAGTATGACCAACTCCTTGTGCCAGCACCTGCTGGAGCGGAAGCTCCTGCGGTCTGCACAGTGCCAAGAGAGGAGTCCGGGTGTGTTTGCTTTGGGAACAAGCTCTTGCAGAGGATCTTGAGGGATTGAGCGGCAGTGTCTTAAAGGTGGGGTGAAGTTAGGGCAGCCAGGGTTTGAGGAGGATGCCTGCCTGCCTTATCTCTACTCACCATCCACTGTTTCACTTTCCAGGTGAAGTTTCTCCTGCTATGCGAGTGGATAAGGTTTGTCTTGCTACATCTGGGTGCATCTATGGTGGCTTGATGGGCAGGAAGGGGGATGTCATAAAAATACGTGACAGGGAGGTGTGAAACATGTTCAGAGGGAGCACTAAAGAAAGCAAATAGCTGCTGCCAGAGGGAACAGTGTACAAACTGAGAACCCTGTCACCCTGGCTGAGTTGCTGTGGTTGAAGGCACTGTGCAATATGCCTGTTCAGCCCTTGGTAAGAGGCCATTAGCTCAAACCAACAGGAGCCGATTGCTCTGCTGCGCTAGTTCATGGTCAGCATTGACTCCAGCCAGCGTTTGCTGAGGTTGGGGTAGCAGCCCAGGCTGAGGCTGGACCTGGCTGAGGTGTGCGTGTTCACTCCCTGCTGTCGGCATGGGCTGGCTATAGGGCTGATGGGCAGCAGGGGAAGGGGAACCGCAGCAATCAGCTTGAGGAGTGCTCCTCTCACAGAGCCCAGTGTCATGTTCAAGCCCAGCTCACAGGCAGGTCTCCCTGTGCTGGTATGGGTGCAGCAGTAACTCCACTGGAGCAGTTGGGGTGGGGGTCTCCCACACTGGCTGTGTGAATTCACCCTGTCTGATGGGAGCAGCCTGGGGACTGATTCTCTGCTAGGCTCCCCCAGGGCTGGGTTTCTTTATTATGAGTCTCACTTGAAAAATAAGTGTCTCTTGATCCCTGCTGTCAGTAGAGGTTGGGCAATATCTCTCCTGAGCATCTCTATGGCCCCTTGCTATAGCAGCCCAGCCCTCAGAATGTACTTGGAGCTCTTCTGAGAGAGGGGACAGCAGTGGCATTGTCACTGCTTCATAGACATGAAGTGACTTAGCCAAGGACATGTGAGACATCTCAAGACAGGGCAGAAATTTGAACCAAAGCTTCCAAATTTGAAGCAGGAATAGTCTGGAACTTAGGTTGCTCAGCCACATGTTTTCTTCATCCACTGAGGAAAGATCCTCAGAGCAGAGAGCCAGGCTGTGCTCCAGCATCTCCTTTGGCAGCCATGGGTTTGCCAGGAGGGGATGCTGAGAAAGAGGGTCTAGCACCAAGCACCCTTCCAATACGGAGCCC